CACCACCCCAGCGGCTTTAACGCGTGCTGTCCTTTTTCATTTTCTATGAGGGAAAAAAGAGAGTCGATATTCCATGTAGTTGGACCCCTGTCCTAAAATGAGTATCATTTATTCCTACTAAAAGTAAAAAAGAAAACTTATGTAGACACAGAAAAGGTGAAAAGGTTGGAAGCACCTCCACTAAAAGACATAAAAGTGAACTAGCAAATTAGGCTCATACCAGATTTTTTTTTTTTTTTTGGAGTAGGAATCTCACTCTGTTGCCCAGGCTGGAGGGCAGTGGCACGCTCATGGCCACCGCCGCCTCGACCTGCTGGGCTCCGGCGATCCTTCCGCCCCAGCCTTCCAGGGAACTGGAACTACAGGCACGCGCCACCACGCCCGGCTCGTTTTTGATTTATTGCGGAGATGAGGGCTCGCCAAGTTACCCAGGCTGGTCTCGAACCCGCCAGCTCAGGCAATCCTCTCACCTTGGCCTCCCAAAATGCTGGGATTATAGGCGTGAGCCGTTGTGCCCGGTCTCATAGCAGATTTTTTAAAGAGTGAGTTATTTTTTTCATTGCATGCAAACGAGGTGGTGTTTGTCATCACTGAAACTAGTAAACTGGAAATGAATTAACTGACGTGAAGCACCTGGAATCGGAAAAATATTTGCAAGAATTGTAAAGAATGTTGAGGAAACAATGTGAGTGACTAGCAGGACGGGCTCTGGAGGCAGGTGCCTGGGTTTCCAACCAGGGTACATCATTGACTCTGTGTGACTTTGCATGAGGAAGTCAGTTTCTCTGTACAACAGGGATGATAATGCTTACCCAGTAGGGCGCTGGGGGCATCGGTGATAAGGTGTTAGTACCTGTCACATGAGCATGCTGGCTGCTCCCTTACTCTCCTCACACTCACAGTTTTCTGGCACACAAAAAAGTTTCACTTCTCTTAACTGTATTTACTATTTGGGAACGGTTTAAGCTGGGGAATTTTTTATTTGAAGCCAAAGAAAAACAAAAGTCAGTTATCAGCTTGTGCCAGATACTGTGAATTTAAAGATGAATGGGGCTCATCCAGCCTGTGCCCTGAAGTAGCACACCGCCTTTTAGCAGATACTACCGATATATTAATAATTTACTAGAATGTAGTGTGTTCCATGGAAACATATTGGAAGAACTATTTATATTGGCTAAATGGGCCAAGGAAGCCTTCCTGAGGAAGTGATACTCCCTTGGTTGGGCAGGTTAGTAGGGAGAACCTTTAGAACCATTCTAAGAAGTTTCCGCTCTAGGCAAAGACTCCTTAGAGTGGCCTGAAGGAACCTTCATCATCTAACCCCTGCCAGCTTCTCCAATCTCACTTAACCCTATGTACTCTCTCCAATCTAAAATCAAACTGTGGGGAATTATCTTGAATTGTTTCTTTGATGGTTACATTTCCATTTTGTTTCCTTTCTGGACTGCAGACTGCAGATGTTCGGTCACCCAAACCGAACTCTTACTTATGGCTCTTTTCCTTCTACTTTTCTTCTCTTTCTCCTTTTCTCCATCTTATGGGAAGTTTTCTCAACTTTATCTTGCATTCTTTAAACTGAAATGTTCATTTCTGTTGCCATCTATTTTCTTCTATCTCCATTCCTATTCCTCTCCCCCATTAGCAACATTTTTGCATGCTTAATGCAAATCTTTCTGTTTGTATATGTTTTCAAAAAAGTGTATTATTTCCTGTCCTCCTATTTTTAATTTACATAAAACGATTTGTCTTTCTATTCTCTCCATTTCTAATCTCTACCTCCCATCCTCTCTTCGGATTCAGTGTTACAGTCAAATATATTATCCTGTTCGTTTTTCTGGGACTGCTGTAACAAATCACTACCAACTCTGTAGCTTAAAAAAACAAGGTCCCATAAGCCAGAGTTTCAACGTTAGTTTCACTGAGCCAAAATCAAGGTGTCACAGTATCGTGCTCCCTCTGGAGGCTCTGGGGAGAGTCTGTTCCTTGCCTCTTGCAGCTTCTGGTGGCTATTGACATTCTTTGTGCCAACATCACTCTAATCTCTGCCTTTGTGACCACTTTGCATCCTCTCTTCCTAGTGTGTATCCTTTGCCACTTTCTTATAAGGATACTTTGATTGCATTTAGGGTCCACCTGGATAATCCAAGATGCTCTCCTTATCTCCAGATCTTCAATTTAATCACATCTGCACAGATACTTTCATCAAATAAGACATCATTTACAGATCCCAGGGATTCATATGAGGACTTATCTCTGGAAGCCATTATCAGACTACCACAATTATCCATTCATAGTTTTATATGCTTATTTAGACATTGTGTATACACATATGGAACAATTTTTTTCTTTACAAACAAGAAAAATAAACTGTTCAAATACCACCTCCTCAGAAAAATTCATTCTTTTCTTTTTTTGAGGAGTCTCACTCTGTCAGCCAGGCTGGAAGGCAGTGGCACTATCAAGGCTACCGCAGCCTCAACCGCCTGGGCTCAGGTGATCCTTCCACCTCAGCCTCCCAGGTAGCTGGGATTATAGATTCTTGCCACCGTGCTCAGCTTTTTTTTTTTTTTTTTTTTTTAATTGTGGAGACAATGTCGTGCCATGTTGCCCAGGCTGGTCTCGAACTTCTGGACTCAGGCAATTCTCTCACCTCAGCCTTCCAAAGTACTGGGCTCACAGGGTGTGAGCCACCACAATCAGTCAGAGAAATTCATTCTTACCCCTTGTTCAAAGTACAGCCCTGGTCACACTTTGTCGTTTCATTCTTCCTAATTTTTCTTCCCAGTACTGTATCAGCAAGGGTTCTCTACTGCTAATAAAATAAACAACTGGCTGGGTGCGGTGGCTCAAGCCTATAATCCCAGCATTTTGGGAGGCCGAGGCGAGAGGACTGCCTGAGCCCAGTGGTTTCAGACCAGCCTGGGCAACTTGGCGAGACCTCGTCTCTATAATAAATAAAAAAATCAGCCAGGCATGGTGTCACATGCCTGTGGTTCCAGCTACTTGGAAGGCTGAGGTGGAAGGATTGCCTGAGCTCAGCAGGTCGAGGATGCAGTGGCCACGAGTGTGCCACTGCACTCCAGCCTGGGCGACCGAGTGAGACTCCAAAAAAAAAGAAAAAAAGTCAATGAAATTATCTGAGCATGGATGTTTATATCCAGGAAGTTTGTGGATAACAAATTGCTTATTTACTGGGTTTATTGATATTTATATTTCCTTTGTCTGATTTGGTAAGTTGCAAATTTTTAAAGAAATTTTTCATTTTATCTGAGTTGTCAAATTTACTGGCATGAAAGTTACTATATTATTAAAACTGTAATATCTGTAGAACCTATTATAAGGGACATTATCCCTTACATTTTTTGTTCATGCTCTCTTCCCTGTTTGCTAATTAGTATATGCAATGTACTGAATGTTCCTTCTCTCATAAATGTATATATTGAAACCCTAATCAATCCCACCATGATGATATTTGGAGGTGGGGTTTGGGAGAGGTAATTATGAGGTCTGACAATTAAGTTTGCGAACTTGCCACCATGCGCTTACGTTGGCTGCACTGTACAACTTGGCAAGGTTTCGTAACTTTGGTATATCAGTGTCTCACAGCTGTGTTCGTGTTGATGTGTGAAGGTGTCTTGCTGAGTGGCGTTCATTAATGTTGTTGCATGTTTTTGTGTGCCATTGTGAGAATGTCAGACCTTGTATTAGAGCAACGAACAAGCATTAAATTTCTCGTTAAATTCGTCAAAAATGGAAGTGAAATTGGGGATGTGTTAGTTCAAGTTTATGGGGATACTGCCATGAAGAAAATGGCAGTGTACAAATAGATCCAAATTTTTTTCTAAGGGAAGAGAAAGCGTCACTGATGAGGAGAGGTCAGGATGGCCAGCAATGAGCCAAACTGACGAAAGCATTGCAAAAATTCATTGAATTGTGTGTCAGAATCATTGGCTTACTGTGAGCAGTACAGCAGGACAAATAAACATGATAGAGAAACAGGAGAAAATCTTAACTGAAAATTTTTGCATGAGAAAGGTGTGTGCAAAAATGATTTTAGCCGGGCTCGGTGGCTCAGCCTGTAATCCCGCGCCTTTGGGAGGCTGAGGTGAGTGGATTGCCTGAGCCCACGGGTTCGAGACCCACCTGGGCAGGGAGACATCATCTCTACAATAAATCAAAAACTAGCCGGGCATGGTAGAGTGTGCCTATAGTTCCAGCTACTTGGAAGGCTGAGGTGGAAGGATCGCCAGAGCCCAGCAGGTCGAGGCTGCGGTGGCCGGGAGCGGCCACTGCACTCCAGTCTGGGGGGCAGAGTGAGACTCCAACTCAAAAAAAACCCAAAAAACAACAACAAAAAAACGGTTTTAAAGGAGCTTTTGCATCATGACAATGCACCAGCTCACACAGCACTGTCTATGAGGGACAGATAACTGTATTGGAACACCCTCCCTACTCACTTGATCTGGTCCCCAATGACTTCTTTCTTTACCCAAAGATAAAGGAAATATTGAAAGGAAGACATTTTTATGACATTCAGGACACCAAGGGTAATACGACGACAGCTCTGCTGGCCATTCCAGAAAAAGAGTTCCAAAATCGCTTTGACAGATGGACTAGGCTCCGGCATCGGTGCGTAACTTCCCTAGGGAAGTACTTCAAAGGTGACCATAGTGATATTTAGCAATGAGGTATGTAGCACTTTTTCTAGGATGAGTTCACGAACTTGTCAGACCTCGTGGGTCATGAGGATAGAGCCCTCATGCATGGGGTTAGTGCCCTTACAATAAGAGGTCAGAGAGCTAGCTAGCTCTCTTTCTACCATATGATGATACAATCAGAAGAGGGCTCTCACCGGAACTCCACCATGCTGGCACCTTGATTTCAGACTTACAGTCTCCATAACTGTGAGAAATAAATGTATGTTGCTTGTAAGGTATTCAATCTATGGTATTTTGTTATCACAGCCTGACTCAAGGCCCTATAGCTAGGGATGATCTTCTCAAAGAACACGCCTTTGCCTTTGTTTCTTAATCATTTGCCTGAAAGAATTTGAGACTATAATTTTCTCCATTATTTTATATATCATTCATTTCTGCTTTTATCTTTTTTTCTTCCTTCTACTTTCTTTTGTTTCACTTTGCTCTTATTTTTCAAGCTTCTTATGGTAGATGCTTAGATCATTAATTTGAGCTCTTTCTTCTGTTTTAGTTACATCTCACAAAATACCCTTCAGTTTGAAAAAAATTCTAATTTTCCATGGGTTTTCTTCAGTTTTCAATTTTAAAAAATTCATAGATTAATAAGAAATGTGTTTCTTTCTTTTCTTTTTTCTTTGAGTCTGAGTCTCACTCTGTTGCCCATGCTGGAGTGCGGTTGCATGCTCATGGCCACCGCAGCCTCAACCTGCTGGGCTCAGGCAATTCTTCCACCTCAGCCTTCCAAGTAGCTGGAACTACAGGCACACACTACCACACCCGGCTATTTTTTATTTATTGTAGAGACAAGGTCCTGCCATGTTGTTCAGGCTGGTCTCGAACCCGTGGGCTCAGGCAGTCCTCCAGCCTCAGCCTCCCAAAGTGCTGGAATTACAGGCATGAGCCACCATGCCCAGCCAAGTGTTTTTCTAATTTCCAGCTACTTGGAGTTTTTTCTAGATATCTTTTTATTAATTTTCTATTATAGTGAAATAACTACTCCGGAAGATTTCAATCTTTCAACATTTATTGGAACTTGTCTTATGGCCCAGTATACATCTGTCTTTGTAAACAGTACCGTGTGTATATGAAAATAATAATATTCCATAGTTGTTGGATATAATGTTCTATAAAAGTCA